TTTATTTTAGGTTTTTTTTTTTTTATTATTATTAAAATTTTCTCCGAGATTTTTCAGCAAAAACACCGAGTAAGGCACCTCGGCCCCTTTTTCAGGGGCAGCACCCCGTGTTAAGCCCCACGGGGGATTCCTCCGGCCCCATGAAGTCACAGACGTGAAAAATTTGGAGGAAAAAAAAAACCAGAACACGATCCCCAAAACATCCCAACAAACGCCAACAGCAGCAGGAAGGTGTAAGAGAACGGGGGAGATTGTCCCCTGGAACGTTTTCTTCCATTTTAAACCCAAAACTCAGCTCTGGGGGAGCACACCCCAGCTCCTCGCTCAGTTTTCCAGCTTCTCCAGCTCATCCATGTCGTCCGGCTCCAGCTGCTTGATCTTCGTCTCTGGAGGAAGGAAAAAAATTTTAAATTTTGAGTGTTTGGCACAAATTGGGGAAAAAAACCCAAACCCAGCCACCCCCGAGGCGGCGTTTTTGCTGTTTGCAAGCAGATGCATGGGCTGGAAAGCTCCCGGAAGCTTTTGGGAGTATAAAAATTAAAAAAAAATAAAAATTAAACTCGGAGCAAGCTCAGCATCGACGAGATTAAGCGCAGCGGCCATGCCGAGGTGGCTCAGAAAGCAAGAGGCGGCCCAAGCGAGTAGCGAAAAGCCGGGTTCGCTTTTCGGAGATTTTCGCGCTGCTCCCACCTCTGGTGGGGATGGGGACGGTTCATTATCCTCGTCAGGGAGCCTTGAATTGCACCGTCGCAGTGTTAAAATAAAAAAATTCGCGTCGCTGGGGATTTTTTTTTCATCCCGTTGCCTCCTTTGGGGGATTCTGCGGTCGGGCTCGTCCACCTCGGGGTTATTCGTTGCAGTCATCTGACGATTCTGCTCAAAAATAAAAAATCTTTGCCAAAATTTGGCTCATCTGGTGTTTGAAATTAAAGAAGCAGTTGCCAGGATGCTTCGGGAAGTGGTTTTCTGCAGGCCGGAACCTTTTTTTTCCCCTCAAAATCACGGGGAAAATACACCCTGGGATTTGAAAAGCCACCAGCGCGGCCACGGCATCGGGAAAATCGATTTTTCAGCCGCCAGCTTCTCTCCCGCAGCTGGCACCGAGCTAAACCGGGGCACTGCATCCCCCAGGATGAGGATTTGCAGGATAAAGGCAGAAAGAATGCCTGACGGAGGGAAAAAAATCGGAGCTGAGGCGTCCTGGGTCCTCGTAACGTCCTTTGGAAATAAACGTACGACCTCCTGGGCTGTTTTCCTGAAAATCTGGCTGTTAGAGAGAAAAAAAAACCGCTAAAAGGACGAGGGACTGGAAAGGAAACTGCGTTTGTCGCCTGTGGGGAAAAAAGAGCCCAAAAAGGTCCAGAAATAAGTCAGAGGGGGATCAGCGGTCCCAGAAATGCCCCCCGGAGACACGGATCCGTGCGGATACTCACGGAAATGTTTCTCGATCATGTGGACGAGCGGCACGTTGCGGTGCTCCACCATGCTGAAGGCGATGCCCTTCTTCCCGAAGCGCCCGGCTCGCCCCATGCGGTGCAGGTAGGTTTCGAAATCGGGTTCGTTTTTCTGATCCGTGGGGAGGTTGAAATTCACCACGATGGTGACTTGCTGCACATCGATCCCTGGGGAAAAAAAAATGAAAATTTAAAAAAAAAAAAAAAAAAAAAAGAGAAAAGTAGAAGAACCGGAGGCAAGGAAGTGAGTTTTGGGAAAAATATGGGAAAAAAGAAAGAGAAAGGGGAAAAGAAAAGAAAAGAGAAAAAGAGGAAAGAAAAGAAAGAAGAACAGGGGTGCGAGGTTTTCCGGAGGCACCTCTGGCGCAGACGTTGGTGGCGATGAGAACCTTCTCCTTGCCGTCGCGGAAGCGCGGGATGACGCTGGCGCGCTGGGCTACCGTCAGCTCGGCCGTCAGGACGGCAACTTGGTGGCCGTCTTGGCTCATCTCCGCCGCCAGCCAGTCTGCGCTTTTCCGCGTCTGGCAGGAAAAAAAAAAAAAAAAAAAAAGATTTTGCCCCCAACCAAAGTTTCACCCATTTTTTTTTTTTTTTTTTTTTTTTGGTTCCCCGGGAGCTGTCAGCAGTTACCTGGCAGAAAATCATGGCCTGGCCGATGGTGATGCTGCCGTAGATGTTGCAGAGCGCTTCGTATTTCTCCTCCCTGTTCCGACAGACGAAATAATATTGTCGGATGTTGCCGAGGGTGAGCTCTTCCTCGCGCAGCTTGATGACGATGGGGTTAGAAATGATTTGCATGGCGAAATCCCGCACGGATTCTTTGAAGGTGGCCGAGAAAAGCAGCATTTGGCAGCCCTTGGGTAATGCCCTGGGATGGAAAAAAAGGAGTTGTCAGTGCAGGAGAGCCGGGAGGGGAAAAAAAATAATTAGGTTGATTTTTTGTTGCTTTCGATAAAAAGGAAATGAAGGCCAAGGGCTGTAGTGGCTCAAAGGAGAAAGAAGCAAAATAAAAGCCTTCCACGGACACGATTGTACGGAAAGCCGGGGGGAGGGGAAAAAAAAAAAGGGATTCCAGCGGTCGGGAATCCTCACCTCTGGACGCGAATGCTTTGGTAGGAGAGCCCCTGAGTGTCGATCAAGATGTCTGCTTCATCCAGGACGAACATGTGGATTTTCTTCATGTTGATGACTCTGCGTTTGAAACACCAATCCTGCATCGTCCCTGGCGTCCCGATGACGATCTGCTCCTCCAGCACCGCGCCCTGGAGAACTGGGAGAGGGGAAAGTGTGTCCCAACACTTCCCAAAACGACCGCTCGAGTGCATTTTTCCCTTGGTTATTTCTCATTCTGGGGAAATCGCATCCAAACACAACCGCTTGACCGTGGATTTTTCCCCCCCCTCAGTTATCTCCAATTCTGGCTTTTGAGAAGTATCATCGTGAAACAATGATTAAAAATTTCAAAATTTCAAAAAAAATTAAAAAATAATTT